GGACTAACTCCTGTGTGAGGTCTACAATTTAAAATATGGTTTAATTATATTTAATTTAGGTCTGTAACTTATATAGTTAATTACATGTTTATTATGTAATTAATTTTTTACAGTTTTTTTTAGTTTAAATTCTAGATGTGTAACTTAAGGGTTAGTTTTAATCTTTACTTACAGTTATTTATTAGTTTGTTTGCTAGTTCCCTCCCCTTCAATCACTACTTTGCCAAAAGCAAAGAAAAGCTGAGGGAGGTTTTGTTGTATTTTGCTACTAACTCTGTATTGCAGGAATACCTATGGAAATGGGAAAAGGGATTAATTTGGACTAAATATTTCAAGCAATTGTTTGCTTGAGTGTTCATTTTTATGCTTTAGCATCCTTGCATGCGTGTGAGTGACTGCCATGAATAGCATGCTTACCATGAGGCTATTTGCTTATGTGATATAACTGCCTGAATGCCTGTGGGTGAAGGTTGGGTTATTTGGATTGGGACAAATCATCAACTGTGAGTTTTAAGCCCACTAGATAGTGGCAAAACCATCTTTTCTAAGCCCACCTGAGGGTGGCAAAATCTGCATTTTAAGCCTACTTGCGAGTAGCAAACCATCTTTCAAAAAGAAACATGAAATGTTTTGTTCCAATTCAGGCGACCCAGTCTATACTTGTATGCTGTGCGTATCACATAGTAATCTAGGCTAATAACCGGAATAAGAGTACATAAAGTTTTCAAAAATAGATATCATGGTTAGTAGAGGCCGATCTTTGATCGGGCGAGCGGGGGTGCTCACGAACTGACCTTCCCCAATCGTACCCAAGTTCCCGAGCCGAGGCAACTTTGGTGATGACGGACATGTGGCCTTTGGCACCGAGTCAGGGTTTCCTAAATTTCCCATTAAAAAAACATTTAGGTGGCGACTCTATATCTGGCAAAGCAGTCCATATTTGGCACTTCTTTCAAAAAATCTGTTTTCTCAAAACGATTTGTCGGATTTGGACTCTTTGGTTCAGATTAAGAACCGTGACAAATTTGAGAGTCCTGAGCTGTAGTGACCCTAAATGAACAGAACGGGACTCACCCTCCCGGGCGCGTTCGGGGACGTCTACAGTGATGAGAGAGATCCACCATAGGTGACGAGAGAGAGAGAGAGAGAGGGAGAGAGACTGAAAATAAAGAGAGAGGCTGAAAATAAAGAGACAAGATTAGTACATCACCAAATTTTTTACATCACCAATAAAGAAAGAGAAAGGGCCTGAAAATAAAGAGATATATATCTCATTAATCTCTTTCTCTGTACTACATCACCAAATTTTTTTGTCGCCAAAAAATTTAAATTCCCGCCTCCACATTTCAAATTTCCCTCTCAAACTTTTGGCGACCAAAAACCAGATTAGTCGCAGAAAAGGTACTTTCGCCGACAAACTTTTTTTGTCGCCAAATCTCAATCAATGACGACTAAAATATTAGTCGCTAAAAGTACTAGTTTGGCGACTAATTTTTTTTTAGTTGCTAAATTTATTTTCCATTCGGCGACTAAATTGTTTTAGTAGCCAAAACTCAATATATGGCAACTAAAATATTTTTTGTTGGGGAAAATAAGTTTTTGGCGACTAAAATTTTGGTCGCCAATTCCAAAACCAACTTATTTTTGATCTTTCGTGACCAACTTATTTTTTAATCGCCAAAATGTGACATTCCTGGACCAAATTTGTAGTTGGTCGCCAAAAGCATACTACTTTCTGCGACCAACTCATTTTTTGGTTGCCAAAATATGACTTTCTGCGACCAACTCATATTTGGTCGCAAAAAATAATGATCATTCGCGACTAATTAATATTTGGTCGCCAAAAGGTAACTTTTAGCTACCAACTTTTATATTGGTCGTGAAAAGTGGTCATTAAAAGTGCAGATTCTTGTAGTGTTAGTTTCGATAGAAAAATTAATGATTACTGTAATGCCCTCAATTTCATAAGACCCGACTCGTCCATATTCATTATACACTTCAAATATCAATTGTATTAATCATCTGAAAGTGATAAATTATCTCTAACACATCGTTAATCATATTATAGTAAATCTCCACTTTCGATTATATTTCATTCAATCCATTATAAGATTACAAAAGGTGAATTACATATGAATATACATTCATAATCTTTAAGACTTGAATCTATAACATATAATGTAATAATTATGAAAGTAAATAACATCCAAATATATGTCCTATAGGCTTATAAGACTTAGGAAAAAAAAAAAAATCCCCAATAAAAAATGGGTTATTTTTCGAGTTCCATAACTGATTATTTTATTAGTTTAAAGACAATTAAAACATACTTGTTAATTTGAGGACACAATTTTTTTGGGATAAAATTATCCTTAATGTAGTTTTATTACTCATTTACCTTTAACTTCCGTCAACAATCATCGATTGCTGGTGTCCATCGTCGATTACATGTGACCTCTTTCTAATGTGACTTTATAGTAAAGTGAAATTTCATTGATTGTCACATAAGCTTAGAAATTTCACTGTCTTTAAATTAGTGAAATTTCTCTGACCAATATCACTAAAATTGCAAAAGATTGGAAAATTTTCATTACTTGGAAATTCACTAAATAAGTGTACTTATTTTTTTATAAGTGCACTTTTATTTGGGTTGTATTACTTCTTTATTTTTTTAACACATTTATTCTTAAAAAGTCTAAAAATGCACTAAATAAGCAAACTCCAAACGGCCCTAACATCAATTAAATTTTCATTATGTTAGTGAAATTTCACTAACTAATTCAATTAAAGCTAATATAAAATTTAAATGTCTTTACATTTACAATGAAACTTTTCACAGTGAAATTTCATTAATTAAGAATATCTTATAGATTAATTAAGATACTAGTACATGAAAAGAAAAATTTCAATAAATTCTCCTTTAATTTATTTGTATTATATATTTTATTTTCATCTTTAATTATACTGAAGTCTTAAATCATGAGAGAGTAAAATAAAATTTTGAAAAGGTTGGTCCGGTGGTCTGGATGTAAGATATGAAAGTGTGCATTCTCTATGATTTGTAAGTGCGTATAATTTTTTGAGGATAGGGGCAAAAGTCCTGACTTTAATTAAACACGTTAGTGGATGATGAAATTAGTCAGTTCATTAGTTGGATACCGAATTTTTAAAAAGTTTAAAAAATTTGGCCTTTCTATTTTAATTTTTAAAAAATACTATAGATCTCAAATAATCTACCAAACATTTTATATAGACCTAAGATCCACACAAATCACATATATATAAATCTCATATATAAAAAAAAAAAAAAAATTATTTAAGATCACACATCACTCTTAATTTTTTACTTCAATTCTATTTAAAGGTACATGGGCCCACGGCCCTATTTTATTTTGCATCGGGTCTGGTGTTCTTGTTTTAGGTTGGGTTGAGCTCCGTTGTCCGTCGGTTGTCTAGGTTTTCATCGTCGTTCTCATATTATCTGTGCTGGAAGGTGTGTATGGCTTCCGATCTGTGCATCGAAAGGAAGGATTCCAAATGGGAGATTAGTGATTCACCGGCAAAGAAGCAAAGGTGCGAGGATTACGGTTCACCACCACCGCTTTGTTCATCAGCAGAAGAAGAAAAAGAAAAAGAAAAAGAAAAAGAAAAAGAAAAAGAAAAAGAAGACCCTAGATCAAAAATTGTAGTCTATAACTACGATGATTCAGATGTGGAAGACGACAGTGATGGAATGCATGAGTTTACTGAAAGGGAATACCAAGAACATCATCGACAGATGACTGAAAGCGATGTAAGTGTGCGTTTGTTTTTGTTTTTGTTTTTGTTTTTGTTTTTGTGCGCTTTGATTCATTTATCTCAATTTTCTTCTAAATCATATATTAAATTACTACTAGTATTATTATTATTGTATTATTAATTTGTGGGCTTTACATACATATACAAACAGGGCTTTGATGTGATGTCGTTCCCACGCTCCTTTGCTTGCGGTACAACAACCCCTCTTTCTAATTTCAATGAGATTGCCGACGACGTCAAAGCTTTTTCCGAATTGGCTCTTAAGGAATACAATGAGAAAGAGGTGTATTTCTTTATTCAATTGAAGTTTTGTTTTGTTTTGTTTTGTTTTGTTTTGTGTGTGTGTGCGCGTGTGCGCTTTTTTTATTTTTATTTTTATTTTTATTGAGAAAATATATATAACATAGATACATATATTAGACAATGTTTTTAATTAGCTTTGTTGTTCATATATATTGTAAAATATGTGTGCAGCATACGAATTTGGAGTTTGTGAAGGTTGTCAAGGTAAACGAAGCGGTTGTTGCTGGTTTTTTGTATTATATTACCTTTGATGTCAGGGATGCTGCTGCGGTTGATGGTGGAACTATGGAATTTCAAGCTTGTGTCTGGGATGGGATTGCCCACACTGAAGTACTCATTTCTAGGCTGAAAACTAGCACATAATCGAGGTAAATTAACTACTTTGGGTATATCATTAGTACCTATGTAATGATGTTTATTGGTCTGGCACCTTTATGCTGCTTTTATATCAATTATATTCCGTGTTGATATCAAGTTTTGTTTGCTTTGGTGGCATATTTGTCCTACTGGAATTGTGTGGTAATTGATCGGTTCAATACCTTTCCGTTGACAGAAAATCTGTGTTTAATATGAATCGAGCTTGAAACAAAGGCTGATTGGGCTAGATCAATAATAGATGGGAGGAGGGACTTCAATCTGTTGTTAGGTACACTTATATAGGGTGTTGTGTTGCAGCAAGAAATGGGTCATACTCATTTAGTTTTGTAGGATTAGGGACCTTAGGAACCAACCAAGTGATTAGAGTAGAGGTAATTTCTTTCAAGATAGCATCACCAGAATTGAAAAAAAGAAAAGAAAAGGAAAGATGTAATAGAATAAAATACGTTGTTATAAATGACAGGCCAAGCTATCTTGAAGAACAAGGCACTATAGCCATTGGGGCCAGGAGATATCTCATCTTTGAGAGAGAACTAGGTTTCTCTAATCCCTTCAATGGCAACATCCATGTCCAGTTTCTGTTTCTGTGCATCATTTAATTGATCACTTTCAGTACAAGTTCATGTCTTCTATGCTTGCCCCAGCACTGCCTCCATTATGGCCTAGCAGGTTCTGAAAATAGGTAATAATCTTAGCGTTTACTTGGTATCATCAGTAATGGTAACTCCATCATCCCTTGTTATACCCATAATCATATTTCTGCCCCTTCTTTGATTGATAACTTGAAAAATAATGGAGTGTTTTACTCCTTGCCGAGGGCCTGTGCACTCCTAGGGATTAGTCGGACTTTGATCCAGACATACCATTGCCAATCAAAATAAAAAATAAAAATGAAAAATAATGGAGTGTTTTGGGCCCCCAAATTGAGCCATTGAGCTCAAGCCTTCTGCTGTAGTATGCTGTCCTCACTCCTGCACAGCTCATTAAATATAGTTGTAGCTCTTTTCTCCACCCCAATCAAATCTGCATCATTGGGGTTGGTATCAAAACTTTTATGGGCTGCCTCAAATTTGAGATCTAACTTCCTCCACCTTCTTTGAGATGTCACCATATTTAATTGGCTTAGCTTCTTCAACTCAACTTTCAGCATTTTCAGCTTTTGGCATAGACAAAACATGGGAGTGCCCAGAACATGGTTTCTCAAAACTCTGGCAACAATAACCAAGAATTGAGGGTGGACCCAACAGTCGAAAAATGTGAAGGGCTTCTTTTGCTTAATAGGGGAAGTGTAGACACAAATTTTAAAACATGAAGTGTTTCAACACATTTCAAAATTTTATATTACAAATGTTCACTGTTTAGTTTTTGGACTAAACAGTGTTGATTATTTGAATAGTAGGTTCCTATTTCCGATCTGTATTACAGATCGTTAATTACACATTTTATATAAATGAAACCTCCGATTAATGAAGAACAAAATAAATAAACAGAAGACAATTTAAGAAAAATAAATATTTTGTTGAATTTGTTATGGGTGTTAAACCCTCGAATACAAAGTACAATCTTTGGGTTTGGAACCCTTTACCTATTAATCACCATTCTAGCGTAGGTTATTGAGTTCTTTATGCTTCTTTTCTTCTTTCTTGTAACAACTTTTTTAGCTCTTGATTTCTTTCTCTCTCTCTCTCTCTCTGATCTTCTCGCTTTTGATTTTCTCATCATCGGTCTTGTGTGATGGTCCTCATATTTATAGAGGGCCATCAGGTGATAAGAATGCCTCATCTTCAATTTGAATTTCGAATTAAATGATAGCGCCATTTGAATTTTGAATGATAGCGCTATATGATTAATCGTATATTTGATTAACCTGATTGATCCTTGGGGTTTCATCCTGTGTGGTGTCCTTGTTGTAGGCTCTACAGGTGCCATCTTTCGTAGGCTCCACGTGTCACTTGATCATTTTGAATAACGTTTTGAGATACGATGTCGTTTTATTTATGCACTTCAATGGAGCAAGTTGATCATTTTGAGAAGTGATTGACTACAACAATCTTATCATAGGCTTTATGTGTGTCATTGATTGTATTTGAAATTTAAACATAAATTTGGTTAAGATATATGTGCGAACAAATGCCCCTCCTGATTTGTACAAGTGAATTTTTTTAACTGTGCAAATCATGACAACTTTGCACTTTTATTTAGGCCTTCTTTTGGGAATTTCCTCTAACGAAGTAGCCACCCATATTTAGAAAGGTCTTATTATTTCTCTCCAATCAATGACGGATGTTAATGGCATGCCTGCTGTAGCAAACACCGTTTTCATGATTTTGAAGAGTTTGGGTGTAGACTTCACCTCCCTTTATGAGAAGTTGGAGATATTCCTTGGGTGTTTTGCTTTAAAAACCCAACTTGCAGATTCTTCAAACTTGTCTACTGCATAATTTGAGGCCCAATACCATGAGAAGAAGCTTCATTTCAATTAACAGTTGTCTACTTCAATTATCAAGTTGGATGAGCACATTGCGGGTCTTAATCAAAGGATTACTCAAACTAAAGAGTTACTCAAACAACTTGAAGAGGAATTGTCATCCACCCAAGCGGAACATGCATCCTTTATGTGTGATTTTGCACGAGCTTCCCAGAGTGTTTCTAAATCAGAAGAAGACGTGCAGACTGCTCTGAATGTTTTGAGCCAGTACAAGGAGAAGAATGGACAACACAGTGTTGTGGAACGTGCTTTTGAAAGGGCTATTGGTTCTCTTAATGAATGAATACACTTTTATTTTGTTATTCATCCGAACATAATGTATTTATGAAATTTCGCTCAATCATAGATTTATTTGTTTTATGAAATTTCTCAATACAATACATTGATTTGTCTTATTTTAGTCGTTCACAGTTTATACTCTTGCGGGTCAGGAGTATCTAATGTTTTATCACCTTAGATTTTGGTGGGGTATTTTAGTAATTTAACCACATACAATACCGTTGGTGGGCTTCAACTTGTGTTTGGCCGTACATAGTTTATACTCTTGCGGGCCAGGAGTATCCAATGTTTTACCACCTTAGATTTTGGTAGGGTATTTTAGCGGTTTAACCACATACAATACCGTTGGTGGTCTTCGACTTATGTTTGGCCGTACACAGTTTATACTCTTGCGGGCCAAAAGTATCCAATGTTTTATCACCTTAAATTTTGGTGGGGCATTTTAGCAGTTTAACCACATACAATATCGTTGGTGGTTTTTTTTTTTTTTGTGCCCTAATTTTTACCTAGGCCGCTTTTTAAGGTTTTCAGCCTAGCAGGCTTTCTTAAGGGTAATATCTCTTTAAGAACCTTGCATTGGTTGAGGGAATGGTTTTGTCACCATCCATCGTTATCAACAAATAGGCTCCATTAGAATAAACCTTCTCAATCACATAAGGTCCTTCCCATTTGGGCTCAAGCTTTCCTTTGGCTCTTCGTGAGACTACCATGGGTGTTCTAACCATTAGTACCAAGTCTCCTTTTTTAAAGGAGCGAAGTCTCACTCTTTTATTGAATGCATTTGCCATTCTTTGTTGATAGATCTCCAAGTTCTGTTGAGTATACAACCTTCTTTCATCTAGGGTCTCGAGCTCAGCCAACCTCACTCTTGCACTTTTATCTTCTGTTAAGGACTCTTGTATTGCCACTCGCAATGATGGTATTTGAACCTCAAGTGGTAACACTGCTTCTCCTTCAAAAACCAACGAATAAGGGGTTGCTTGAGTAGGAGTTCTGTGCGAAGTCCGATAAGCCGACAAAGCTTCTTGTAACTTTTCGTTCCAAGTTCTTTTGTTCTTATCCACCATCTTCTTGTTGAATTTTGCACAAGGGGACATTGCTCTAATTGCTCATCAGGGACCAATTTCTCCCCTTTTTCCTTCTTTGGATTCTTCTTTCCTTTTCTCTTACTTACTTTAGCTTTTTTCTGTTTCCTGGAAACTTTTGGTTTTTGCTTTTTGGAAACTTTTGGCCTTTGTGTTGTCGAAGCAACCACACTTCTAGCTTTCACTCTGGCATTTTGTTTTTTCTTCATACTTTTTGACTGATAAACAACCCATTCACCTTCATTATCATTGCCGATAGTGATTGGGTTAGCAGATGCTTTCTCTTGAGGAGGGAGCTCGATAATCTTATAGTCCAAAAGTTCTTGAATTTTATCTTTCAGAACAAAGCACTCTTTTATCGGATGGCTAATCAAACGATGGTAGGGGCAATACTTTGGATCGTTGGTTTTTCCTACCTCATGTGGTCTTTTCACCTCAGGGAGAGCAATCAACGTTTGCTCCAACAGATCTTCAAATAGGTCTTTGACTAGACCATCCGTGAAAGAATATTTCTTCTCCAACCTCTCTTTCATAGTCACCTTTTTAAATTCCTTGGGCTTTTTAGCCCCTACTAGAACAGGACCCTTCTTTCTGGTTTCAATTGTAGCTGTAGTCAAGGACTCAACCCCTTCAACGGCCCTAGGCCTCCTTCGTTTAGCTAGATGCAACTCCATATCATGAGCTTTAGTGCATAGATTGTTGAATCTTTCAAAAGTTTGAGCCATAAGAGCCGTAGAGAGCTCATGTTGGAAGTTGTTAAGACACATCCGAATTAACTCTAATTGCGTAAAATTTTGAGGACAGGCAAACGTCAAAACTCGCCATCTTGCTATGAAATCTGTAACAGACTCATTGTCACGTTGCTTGGTCTCAATCAGTTCTGGGACTCCAACTTGCCTTTTGTGTGTTGCAGAATTGTTTAAGGAACTCCTTCACCATGGAATCCCAATTTGGGATTGATCCCTCAGGAAGATTAACATACCAAGTAAATGCAGAACTTTCAAGTGATTGGACAAATAGCTGCAGACACAGGGCCTCATTCTGGGCTATTGGCCCGCATCTTGAAAGAAAATGAACCACATGTTGTCTTGGATCTCTTGTTCCATCAAACATTTTGAAATCTGGTTGGTAAAAATCAGAAGGGAATGGAACAACTGTCCATGCTGGGTAAAGTTTTGTAATTATTCGAAAGTTCTCATCATCTTTTTCTTTGACTTTCTTTACTTGTCTCCTCACCATATCATCAATCATGGCCATGAGCATTGGATTCATACCACCACTAGTTAGAGCAGAGTAACAAGGACCATTGCCCCCTGGGGCTAGTATGCTTTGTATGCCTACGGATGTCCCCACAACAGGTCGTGTCATTTGTTTGGGTGCACTTCCAGTTCCTGTCATTTGGGCCTGCAACTATTGCATTTGTTCCAACATAGCAGCCATTTCCCGTTCTTTTCTCTCAAGTTGTTCTTGTAGGGCCACCACTTTTTCCTCGAGACCTTAGTCTTGTTGGACCTGCGAATTTTTACCTTCTTTCTCAACCTCAGTCATCATAACTACGACTTTGTTGACATCTCTCAATTCATTGTTTCCAATATTCGTTGAAATAAATGAGATGGAATCATTTTGTTCGTACAAAGGATTATCAACCCCTACAACATTACTTATATTGGAAGCACCTGATTGCGATGCTTTGTTTTGTGCCTCACAGGTTATAGACCTTGTTATAGGCCCTTTTCTTATTCCCTCCATAGATAGTTCAATCAAAGTAGAAATATTGCTCAAGGGTTGCTTACCCTCCTCCACCTTTTGACTTTCCAACAAAGACAAGACTTTCAATTTGTTTTTGGCGTTCATCTTTCGAGAGAGTCCTTTCAATAGCTCCTATAACATTTGTTGCCACTGTTCTTAGTTTCAGTTTCTTTAAGGCCTTATTTCTTCTTCGCTTTTGTCTTTTCGAAATTGGACCATTTGATGATATATCAAGTCGAGCCCCTAGGGGCATAAAAGGAACCGTTTGCATTTTTGCAAATTCCTCGTGAATTTTCAAAACAGTCCCTACATTTTTAGAGCGGACCAATTGATGTTGATTCAAATCCCGTTGGGTCAACAGGTGTTCCTTATTCGAACCTTGTCGGGCCAACGGGTGTTCCTTATTCGAACCCTGTCGGGTCAACGGGTGTTCCTTATTCGAACCCTGTCGAGCCAACGAGTGTTCCTTTGGCTCCTAAGAGTTGACTGAGATTTTGTGCTCTAACAGAACTGTCGGTTCGTAGGCCGCAACTGTTTCAACAACAGGGGCCTTTTTTTCCATCAATAAGAGTTTGGGTCATTACCCTCCTCCCAATGGCCCTAATGATGGCCGTGTTTTTAGCGGAGGCGCTCTTCTGGGCAGACTCCACTATTTTAATGAAGTCTTCTACCCTTGTGAATAGTTGGGCCACAACATTTGTTGTTGCGTCTGTTGAAGCTGCAACAAAGGTTGTAGTTGCAACCTGATTAGCCTTTTTTGTCTAAATTAGAAAGCTCTTCGTTCGGGTTGTAGCCCTCACAATTGCATACTGCTTCGACACTTTCACATAATCTTCAGTAATCTTTCTCAAACTTTCAGCTTTTTGGAGAAGTGTGACTTTCTTCGTCACACCAGTTACCGTTGGAACAGCCAAGAGCTTTCGCTCCGGAGCCCCTTGGGCGATAGGGGAAAGAAGTGCATCCTTTTAGGATTTCGCTGGTTCTACCTTTGGGACAGCCAAGAGCATTCGCTCCGGAGCCCCTTGGGTGATTGGTGCTATCTCCACCCTTGGTGATTTCAGAACTACTGGAGTGTAAGTTTGTCTTTTGATAGTTGCTTCAGCATTCCTATGACAGAAGAATACATCAGTAAGTTTCAACTATATATATATATTTTTTGTTCTTCAAAAGATGGGAGGAGAAATAAGTTCCACTGGGCGTACCAGAATTTGTAGATACAAATTTTAAAACATTAAGGTGTTTCAACACATTTCAAAATTTTATGTTGCAAATGTCCACTGTTTAGTTTTTGGACTAAACATTGTTGATTATTTGAATAGCAGGTTCCTATTTCCGATCTGTATTACAGATATGCAGATCGTTAATTACACATTTTATATAAATGAAACCTCCGATTAATGAAGAACAAAATAAATTAACAGAAGACAATTTAAGAAAAATAAATATTTTATTGAATTGGTTATGGGTGTTGAACCCTCGAATACAATGTACAATCCTTGGGTTTGGAACTTTTTACCTATTCATCGTCATTCTAGTGTAAGTTCTTGAGTTCTCTAGGCTTCTTTTCTTTTTTCTTGTAATAACTTCTTTAGCTCTTGATTTCTTTCTCTCTCTCTCTCTGTTCTTCTCGCTTTTGATTTCCTCAGTCTTGTGTGATGGTCCTTATATTTATAGAGGGTCATCAGGTGATAAGAATGCCTCATTTTCAATTTGCCTCATTTTCAATTTGAATTTCGAATTGAATGATAGCGCCATTTGAATTTTGAATGATAGCGTTATATTTAGTAAAATGACCATTTTAACCATCTACTATTTAATTATGTATTATATTTAGTAAAATTCAATAAACTTTAAATATCTCAATTTAAAAATATAATAATTTTATTTAATTTTTATTTAATTTTTTAAAATAATTTTTTATAGATATTTTATTTTAAAATTTTGTTTATATTTTATTTAATTTCATTATTTAAATTTTAATAGATATTTTATTTAATTTCATTATTTAATTATTATTATTTTTTAAAATAAATTTATTTAAAATTTTAATTAAAAAAATAACATATATTTTTATTGATATTTAATTTATTTAATTTTTTTAAAATATATTATTTAATTGTGTAAGAAATAAAATAAAAAAAAATAAAATAAATTTTTATTTAATCTAGTTAAAAATAATTAGAATATTAAAGATATGTTTAATATTGCTATTACTTGCTAAATAATTGAAAAGGGTAAAATAGTCATTTGAACATTTATCATTCTCCATAATATCCCAAACAAACATAGGATTCATATTCTATCTATCTAAATAGTCCTCTTTTGACATCTAATCCCATGACTAAACAAACATGGGATACAAATTCAATTTAACCAAATAGTCGGGGGACAATGTATCCAGGACTAATAGTTCGATGGATTCCAATCCCTCCGTCCAAACGAATACATGCAGGGCTAATGATTTCTCTGTTGAATGAATCTAGGAAGCAACTGTACATTAAGTGGGGGTGCAAATGGAGGCTTTTACAAAGGAGAAGGCTGGACTGGAAGTGCTGGGACAAGGTTCTTGGTGTGAATCTTTTAAAGAATAATGGGAGGTAAGAAAGCAAATCAAAGAGGAATGATGAGGGAGGTGAGGGAGGAGGATGGACATTGCAGGGGGAAGATGAAGACAATGATTAAATTTGACTTGATTAAATTTTTTTCAGCCTATTCTCTTAACAAGTGCGTGTTTCACAATATCTATTTGTATGGATGGAAAATGTAATGGTAGCACTTTAGTACCAAAATCACATGGATGGTATTTGGCTATTTTTAAAAGGCGAGATAAAGTGCTCTCGGCCATGCCACATGGGGTAAAATGGATTGTGTCGAAAACAATATTCTTAACGGAATTAAAGCTCTCAAACTAACCTTGTTTTTTTGTTGCCCCCAAATTTAGTACAATGTGTATCTTTGGACTAAACATTAGATGAGTATTGGATGATATAGCATGACTTCACAAAAATAAAGTGATTTTTACTCTTGTCAGGTATGTATTTGCTAGTCTTAATTTGGTCTTGCCCTTCCTTCTACAAACATGAAATCAGAATACATAGTGATTAATTTGAGATTAGAGAGTATGTTAACATTACATATGGCGGTGGCCTTTTCTTTCTTGAATTTTATTGATGAGTTCATGGGTTACTATTCACACTTCCTGCCCCTTAGGACCTTTTTTCTCAGCAAGGTAGTGGGTAGGGTCGAGTAAAAGGAATCACTCCCATGAGGAACTTCACACTCTTTGTATCAGAAGCACTATTAATTTATCATTAATAAATGAAAATAACCAACTTTAGCGCCTTTATGAATACTTATTTGTTTACTTATCGGAAAATAATCACTATGTTTGGTTCCATTTTTTTGGAGTTTTTTTTCTAAAAAGTGATTTGAAAACTTTATTTTGAAAAAGTCATTGTTTGGTTTTCAAAAAAATACATCATTGCAATTTTAAATTTCCCTCCAATTTAAGGAGAGGCAATTTAAAAAAAATTTGTCACATCAAAAAATATTATCATCTTTGTTGTATATATATATGTCCATGCTATATATGTATTAGTAAAATATAATTTGGTATGGGTACATATCCTACCACAACTGTGTCACTTTATCGTAAAATTTCTACGCATTTCATCCACAGAAAATGTAAATTATTTTTCCAAATTGACATTAAAAAAATCACAATTTTTGCAAATTTATTTACAAATTTATGGATATATATCCTACCATTAACTGTGTGACTTTATCATAAAATTTCCACTCATTTCAACTACAGAAATGTAATTTTTTTTTTTAAATTGGCATTAAAAAATTTCTTTCGTAGAATTAAATTTTCATAAATGTTATACAGAAAATTTATTTACAAATTCGCATTAAAAAAATCGTAATTTTTGGAAATTTATTTACAAATTTTCAGAAAATGTAATTTTCAGAAAATGTAAATTTTTATTTTATTTTATAAATTGGCATTAAAAAAAATTTTAAATTTATGTTTAAATTTATTTACAAAATCGTAAATTTGTTTAAATTTACTTACAAAATCATAGATTTATGTTTAAATTTACGATTTACAAAATTTTCTTCATAACATTTATGAAAATTTAATTCTATGAAAGAAATTTTTTAATTCCAATTTGGAATTTTTTTTTATGTTTTCTGTGTTTGAAATGAGTGAAAATTGTATGATAAAGTCACACATTTTGTGGTAAGATATGTATCCATAAATGGCTACATACCATATTATGTTTTCATATATATATAGTATGTGTCTATATATATATATATAAGATGAGAGTACTTTATCATGTGACAAATTTTTTTTTTTAAATTATCTCTCCCCTTAAATTGGAGAGAAACTTCAATTTGAAAAGTCCTCAACACACACACACACACACACACATATATATTCAAAATTGTCTCTCTCCTTAAAATTCTCAACATATCATTTTGAAAAGTGAACTCAATTTTTGGAATAACCAAACAAATACTCTAAAATTTTCAAAAAATTAAGTTTGAAAAACAACAACCAAACATAGTGAATAGATTAGTCCTACTTTTCCCATGGAACTACAGTTCAGTCCTTAGTTGCAGGAATCGTGGTAACAGGTCGCGAATCTTCGTAAGAAACGCGATTCCGCGTTTCTTAGAAAGAAACTTGTAGGAATCGCGTTTCTGTAGAGAGAGAAACGCGATCCTGTTCAAGATGGGAACGTTGGTGAAGAAGAACCAAAACCCTAACTTGTTGGTCAATAAAGAGAGGAGAAAGAAGGTGAAGAAGAACCTGGTTGTGCCTGGTATGTCCTTTGCTTCGTTTTTCTTCTTCTTTCATCACTTCGAAGGTCGTCTCTCTCTCTCTCTGTTTTTTGTCAGTTCGTCTCTCTCTCTGTGTTTTTCGTCTGTCGAGTTCGTCTCTCTCTGTGGCAGATCATCTTTCTCTCTCTCTCTCTCTCGCAGATCGTCTCTCTCGCAGATCCTCTCCTTGCTGATCGCCATCGCCATCGCCATCGCCATCGCCATCGCCATCGTCATCGTCTCTGCCTTTGTTTTCTCTGCCTTCTCTCCTCTGCCTTCGTCTCTGTTCTTCCCGATATATACATATATATCTGATCAAAAAAAAAAATGTAAGTAATATATATAAGATAAAACATATAAATATATATATTTAAAAAATAAAAAAACATTAATACATTATTATATATCATTAATACATTAATACATTAATAAATAAAAAAACATTAGTACATTATTATATATCATTAATACATTATTAATACATTAATATATTTAAAGATAAAATCTTTAAATAAATATATATATTTAAAAAATAAAAAAATAAAAAACATTAATACATTATTATTTAATATATATCATATATATACATATAAATATATAATAAAAAAATAAAAATATTAATATATATAATCTTTATAATATATTTACATAAAAAAAAATATTAACACATGCAAATATAACATATATATATATATGAGTGTATATTATACATATTAATAAAAAAAACACACACATATATGTAAAATAAAATAAAAATAAATTACCAATAACACATTATTTAAAAAATATAATAAATAAATAAAATAATTAATGTGTATTAAAATAAAAATATTTATAATGTGTATTAAAAAATATATATATATATGTATATATTACCGCTTCCCGAGACGCTCCCAACCTAAGAAACTTCTATCGGCTCACGCTTCCACGCTCCCGCTCCCGCCTCCGCTCCCGCTTCGTGCAACTAAGGTTCAGGCCTATCCAGTTTTTATTACGACAATTTAGTCCTACTTTTCATAAATATTTTTAGAAAAGTCCTATTTTTCTTATATTCCTCCTTTACCTTTTAAAATTTTATTATGAAAATGCCATACTAGAATTTTATTGCATTAGCGTTCTCTCTATACGAAGGTTTTCAAAGGCGCAATTGAGGTGCGACTTGAGGCGCGTCTTGAGGTGAGGTGCAACAAAAATGCACAGATGCGTTCTTTTTAGGTGAGACTCCAGCTATGCGCATGCCTCAATCACAGAGATGTATGCATTTCTCCTGCTTTATGCTCTTTTCACGCATCCGATGGCGAGGCTCAAGCCTTTGAGGGGTTAGATTTCAAAAATAAAAAACGGAAACGATAGAGTATTTACCTTATAAGTCGATCTTCTTCAAATCAGAGTCCCAACAACTTCGAATCAGTCTTCGAATCTTCTCCAACGAACTAGGGTTTCAAGGGACGAAGTCTATCTCTGTCTCTCTCTCGAGTTGAGTCTCTCTCTCTCTCTCGTTGTTTCTCTGTTTCTGTATTGTCTCTTCAAATATCTAGAGACAGTTTTTTGCATCTTTTTATTTTGTACTCATCTAGACTATTATTAATATTATTATAACTTAGTTTCTTCTTCTTTAATTTATCATTATTATTATTAATACTCTATTCTTCTTCTATTATGATTATTATTATTATTATTATTATTATTATTATTATTATAACTTAAGTTATTTTTTTATTATAGTATTAATGAGTATGACTTAGAAAGCTCTTATAATGCTTGGATTTATTAATTAATTTTGATTTTATGCTTAGAATGACTATTATGAATTTTATTTGCTAATTCTTATTTTTTTTGCTCTTTTTATACTATATTAAATTAATTTTGTATTTTATAAAAATTAAAAAATTCAAAAGGCTTACACCTTGCCTCAACAAGGGTAAAACGCCTTGCCTTGCACTTTCGCCTTTAAAAGCATTGCTCTATACAACGTCTCGCTCTAGCTTTGTCCTTGTGACATTGATGGCAACAAAAATGGGAGCACCCTACTCTTGCATTTCTTGCTTCATCTGCCTTGGGAGCAAAAATGATAGCTTGCTTTATTGCTAACTCCTGGCATTTTCAGCAAACATGTGTTGTCAATATCAGTATACTCATAGCTCCTTCTTGGTGAAGATGCTCATATAAACCCACCCACCCACTCTCTTCCTACCATTTTAGCCTAATAAATCATTACTGTTTAATATGAGATTATTTTAACAAATTTTTTTTTTTGACAATCACCTTTAGTACAATTATAATTTTGATTCAAACATATTTTTCTTTGATGTTGTGAACTAATTCATATTTTTCCGTTAATTTACCTTTTTATTGATTCATATTTTTCTTGACAAGAGCAAATACGATTGTTCATGGTGGCTGGGTTGTTAATGGGGTTTACCTGTAGATCAAAATTAATGTTGAATTGGTAATGATGGATGAGAGAAAGGACAAAAAAGGATGATAGAAATGTGTCAATGATCACTGAGTTATGTGTATAGTGATTAATGGCCATGACAAAGGGTAAAGTTGAAAGAAAGAATTAGTGTTGAACTACTTTGGAACAAAATTTTCAAAGTAGGACTTAATTGTCCTACTAGAAAATTTATAGGACTTGTTAGTATTTTTCTAGGAAAAATAGGACTAATTGGTTACTTTTCCTACTTATTTTGTACAAGGTAACATTGGAATTTGGACTTTTATGTTGTTGGTGTATAGCTGAAATCAGGTATAGTTGAAATGGGATTGGAGTTTATATTTAATAAAATCTTTGAACATTAAGGATATATTGGTGTTGTAGATGAATATTGGTGGCCATCTATGATGTTAATGCTATTTATGCTTTTAGTGAAATGTGAAAGTCTAATTTACGCCTTTTTTTATTTATTTATATTAAGTCTTAGTCGAGTTGAACCAAGTGTGTGGATGGTTAATTTATGTGTTATTTATTAGCACGTTGATTGTTTGTTAACAATTAATTTTTAGTTTTCTGCTATAATTATTCTTTTTCATTTTTATTTTTTCTTTAGCACATCTATCATCTATGTTATGTATGATTTCACATGAATCATTG